CCATGTTTAGAGATATTCGAAACGATATACATGCATACGTATAGATACGCGAGCTTTTGCTATCTTTCTCCTTTTCTCTCACGAGAAAAGCAACAGCCCTAGAATATCGGAGTACTCCTAACATTGCGAAACCGAACCTTTAAATATTCCAAAGGTTTTACCTGGAAATTGATATCCGCATAAACTCGATTCGTTTTCATCTAACTCATTGGAAAAAGAAAAAAGGGGAGAAAAAAGTAACAGCCTTCGATCTCGAGAAAATGATCTAGAAGAGAATCGTATATAAAAAAAAAAACAATTAAAATTCCTGTTTTGATCGAGTATGTGTGAAAAGTGTGATTATGTGATATTATAATCATTGTAATATAAAATAAATCATATAAAAAATCAATATATTTACGTAAGATTAATTTTAATATATTTTAAATTCCATTTGATATCGTTTATTTGTTTGTTTGTTAGAAATTGAATGCTTGTTTCGCGCATTGATAGATTGACTAGTTGACTTTGAAGAGAATAGTGTTGGTTTCGGTAGCAAATATCCTTTAGATATGGTATGTATTATCACATGAGAAGGATCACGATCGTATGTGTGAATTCTCGGGTTCTCACAACCCTCCCTCGCCAACCCTCGCAACCCTTGTTCATAACGCAGTGCTAGTAGAATACGCGTCGATGACCGTATACCGAGCCAGCGGTTTTGTCATTCTAATAGGGAGGGCGATGCATCAATTATAGAAACATAGGCGGTTCTCTCTGCTCTCGCATTACACGAACTCCGAATAACGCGGTCCCGATTGCGCACGATTATGCGAACAATAAATTGGCGGTCGGATGCACCGAGCTCGAGACAACCGACATTCCGACGTGCTTCTATGTATATGTATATGTCAACGTGAAATCGTACGATTTAAGTAATTCATGAAATATCTAAAAAATTTTTCAAAATTATATAAAAACAATTTTTCGATATCCCATAATCAATTCTTGCCCCACCTCTCCATGTTTGAATTTATTAATTTTATTTTTAAATTAAAATTATAAATAACAATATTAAATATTATTATAGAAATTCTATAAAGAGTACTCTGATCAAATTTATTAGATATTTTAAAAAATAAACCATCCTCGTGGCTTTAGGAAAATCCGTCACGTCGACGGAGGGTATACAATACTCGTATATATATGTATGCATGTATAACGTGGGTGCAGTTAGTAACATAGATGGGTGACCCGTCTGGAGAAACAAAAGATAAAAACCGTGTACTGTTGATTACAGAAAGACAGTAAAAAAGACGCGACCTATTTGGTAGTATTGAATAAGTGTGGGAAGTAAAGGTGTTAGTAAAGAAGTGACTCGAGTCTGTAAAATAAAGAGTAAACAGACAAGAATGTTATTTAATTTATTATTTAATGATCATTAAAACCGGTTACATTATTTTATTTTGTGATAGTCATATAATAATAAATATTACTTAATATATATTATTTTGAATGGTCGTTTAATCAATTTTGACGAAGAGAAAATAACATCGTTACTGGATCCTTTATTTTCCACCTTTCATTTTATTTCGAATATAGATTTTCAAATTTAACATTTACTTTAACGATACTTTGTGTCTATAGGAACAACATATTTATAATAATAATATATATATATATAGAAATAATATAAAACGATTAAACGTTTTCGTTTAACGTTATTAAATGTAAGTATATAATATTCCGGTAAAAATGACTCTTTTATAAAAGACAAATTATATTCACAATAACGTTACTCTGCTTGTTCACTGAGTGAAAACCTTTGTCGCGTACCATAAAATATTAATTTTATTTAAAAGCTTTCGCGCAGATTCGATTATTTTCGATGATGGACTGAGATGTAATGTTTTATGTTATTCGCGATCACGGATTAAAAAGAAAATATAAAACTCGTCAATTCGAAATGTTATAAAGGATAAAAAGTTACCGCTTGAAAATATCTATTAACCCATCCGACTCGTTTCTACTTAAAGTACAATTCGTTCGAATGAAACGTGCGAGCGACAGAGATATTGAACGAGAAAAGCGGCAAATTTCAAATCTATTAACAATAAACTAACAATTCGATTTTTGGAGAAGTACAAAAAAGTAAATTGTCTGACTTTTGTAGGACGTTTGTAGCGACCGAAGGACGAGGTTATCGATCGTAGCGCGAGAGAATTTAACGACCCTCCTCTTCCTCCCACCCTCATCATCCTTCTTCGTTCATCTCTTTCTCTCTCTCTCTCTCTCTCTCTTATGACTGCGTGTCTCGCGTTTTCCAGTCGCCCATTCCAACTAAACGAAAATTCGATTTCGTCTCTCGCTACCTGCTGGTCTTTACCAGCGAATGGCAAATTCTTCGATGGCATTTACAGTAAATGGGAGAGAGAGAGAGAGAGAGAGAGAGAGAGAGAGAGAGAGAGAGTGAGAGGGAAAAGATATCTTTCTTGTCTGTTAACGTCATACTATTAATCGTATTAGGCGAACTGCAAGTCGGCTTGAGTGGCGAATGCCCTTCCTTCTATTACAAAGGCGGCACATGCCAACGTTACTCACTTCGTTCCTGAGTCAACGAGCAAGCTTCGAAGAGAAGATACACGGAGACACGCAAGCAAGCTCTTCTATTGCTGTATAGTGAATATGATACATAGCTGCAACCCATACACATAGATACGCATACATAGAAGTATGTAGGTAAATACCTATTTTACCGTAAGTATCTACTTACATATCTATCTTATTGAAATTTCCATGAGAATTTTCTTCATAGTTACATTTGATACCCATGAGAAATCCGTAAGCTCCCAAACGAATTCGTTAATCGTCCCCAATCCCTACTACACTCGATGAAATAAAAAATGCATTTCGAAAAGATCTCCTACGATTAACCCTAATCCCAAGCCCGTTTCCTCTAATACAGCCTAAAACGTAATAACGATTTACCTATCCAATCGAAATAGAGTTTAGAATGAATTGGGTCTATGAATTAATTAAATTATGCTTTACCCCCCGATCAGCTTCTACTATTTTCTATTATTATTCTCATCTATTGTCTACCCGCGCGCGCGTCTTTTATTGCAAATCGAGAAACGAGCGAGAACCTTTTCGAGTTGCTTTACGATGGTCGCGCATGAAGAAAAGGGGTAAAGAAGAAAAAGAAGTAGAGAAAAAAAAAAGAAGAGAAAAAAAAAGAGAAAAAATAAGAGAAAGAAGAAGGGTGGGTAGTCGAGAAACGAAGAAAGTCAGGCAAAGGATGCGAGGGGGTTCGAATTGGCGAGGCAACGAACCTTCTCATTTCTACCCCACTACAACCTACCCTACCCTACCCTACCGGTCTTTCTCTCTTTCCATTTATCTATCTTTCCAGTCTTCCTCTTTCCTCCTCATCTACGGCACGACCTTTCGGTCGTCTCTTCGTCTTTTCCTCGACTTACCTACCAGTCACTTCTTCATCTACATATTCCAGGATAGCAAGTGCGAGGAAGACGTCGTCATTTCTATGGGCATTCATCATTCGCTCGTCGCTCAACGCGTACACTACCTACACCTACTGCTTCTCTCTTTCTTTCTTTCATTCTCATTCTATCTTTCTCACTCTATCTCGTTATTTTTCTCTTTACCTCATTCTATTTCTCTTTCTCTCATTTCCCGCAATTTCTGGCGTTACAACGCTGAAACCTGCATTGATGGTAATCCAAGAGCCTTTTAACCGAATATCACATTCTTTTTTCTTTTTCTACCAGATGCACGATGCCGTGTATTTCGGTCAGCGATTCTTAATTTTCCTACACTTTCGAAACGAAGCACGCGAACGAGAACGATGATCCTCAAATGCGCGATCGTATGGAAAGATGCGTGAAGCGAGAAATATTCGTTTTGTTAGATTGTTAAAGTTAATTAGAACGATTATCGGTGACGAACGAAGCGTTCGTTACTTTCTTTAAAAATCCTTCTCTCTTTCTCTCTCTCTCTCTCTCTCTCTCTCTCTCTCTCTCTCTCTCTTCCACTCCCACCCACTTTCAATCCCAGCTGTTCGAAATCGAGATCTGATAATACTATGGGTTCTTGACCTAATTCGACTCGACGCTAACCGTGTACGCGCGAACGCGAATAAATAGCGCAACGCGTGATTTAACTTTTTATTTCTATTCACTGCAGACGAGAGAAAGAGAGAGAGAGAAAAAGGGAAGATTTTTATTTTTTATCTCGGAAAAGTTTGAATTCACGTATTCGAGGATTGGGATGAAGAATGAAATTTCTAAGAAAGATTTTGCATTCTGTTTCTCTTTTTCTCTCTCTCTCTTCTCGTGCGCGCGTTCGTTCAGCCATGCATACATTGTTTGCTTATGCGTCGCGCCAACTGCAACGCATGAAACATTTTCTTTGAGTTTATCGTACCGATAATAAAACAGTGGCAATGGTAGTGTAATGGTGATGATGGTGGTGGTAATGATGATTGTGTAAGGGTATCTTTACCGTAGCTCGGTCAACACTGCCTGCCACCTGCTGTTATCTAATCTTTATGAGAAAAAAAGTACGCGAGGATTCTTCACTTCGTTTGTTAGTCTCTTCTTCTTAACTGACGATTATTTAGACGTTTCTAAAACGACTTTATACTTTCTTTTTTTTTCAAGAAGGACCACTTTCTCTCAGACGAAGAAACACGAGATTTTGCTGTCAACGAGTAACTTGGTCTCTTAGTAAAATTAGAGTAGTTTAGAGCTTTGACACCCTTAAAAAACAAAACTAGATAAAGAATAATAATAATAATAATAATAAAAAGAACTTAGAGAAAAAACGAGACGATTATTATTACTATTATTATCTCTCCAGGATGAAAATAATCTTCATTAAGTTAACGTTGTGATTTCATTGATGATAATTTATCATCTTTATTTAAATGAAATCATCCTGAGAACGCGTTCTAGCACCATTCCTCCACCTATTCGACGAGCACGAATCATTATCAAACTCACCTATGTTGATCTTATCCGGAAAAGCAGCTGGTAGTAGAATCAAGAGAAGAGTCAATGCAGTTGTCATGAGGGTGCTGGTACTGACTGGTCTAACGATACCACTTGCTCTTCTTCTTCTTCCAATCCAACCCCGAATAAGAATTTTCTCGTTTTTCATCTCGATTTCTGAATCATTCCTTTCGTGAAGAAGCTCGCGAAAATCGAAGAAGGACGATGATTTAACGGACGAGGATAAGGAAGATGATGATGAAGAAAAATAAGATGAAGATGACGACGACGAAGAAAATGATGAATATGAAGAAGATGAAGATGATGAAGAAGAAAAGGCGGTACCTCGACGACGCGGATTCGACCTCGTCGTCGCGCGAACAACACGGCGACGACGTCGAGACCTCGGTGCCGAGGATGGTCCATCCGTTTCGCGAAGAACCGGGAGCATCTTCCGTGCTCCGTTGTCTGACACAAACTGACGTACGCTACTTTGCGTCAACTCGCTCTCGCTTGAACCGCCCCAGCATCCCTACTCTCTCTACCCCACTCTCTCATCCCTCCATCTCTCTATCCTCGTCTCTTTCTCTCTTAAACAAGCACCACCGACCCACCCCATCGGGCCATCGCGTATCCAGCAGCCGACCCCACCGTCGCTTGCTCTCCTCTCCTCATCCTCATCCTCCTCCTCCTCCACCTCCTACATATACTCTATTCTCCTCTTGCCCCCTTCATCGCCAGCGTCATTGGCACGGTGCTACCTAGCGACGGGTTCGACGCTACCCTTTCAATTCGTTCATTCGATCAAAAATGATTTTTCAATCGATTATTGATTTTTTTGGAACTCTCAATTTAATATCGTTTATGATATCGATTAGATCGATTATGTTATTGAACTAAAATACAATGCAAATATAAAAGTAAGAATATCGATACGTTAACAAAATCATTCGAATGTTATTTATTATTAATAATCTGATATGCTTTCAAGTTCTCAGGGAACAAGTAATTGTTCACTTATTTAAAAAAGAAATATATTGACAAAAAAAAAAAAAGAATAAAAAAAATATTTGGAAAGAACAAGAGATATGAGAACGCGACTCGCGTCCGACGCTAGAAACTACCCCTCTTTTCTAAAGCCCCCAATGCTCGCCACCACCACCACCCTCCACCATCACTACCACTACTACTACTATTACTATTACTATTACTACTACCACTACCACCGTCGCTACCACCACCGCCAGCACCCCCATCAACACTGCCACATCGGTTCGAGGTAGAAGCGTATGCTTAACGCGCATGTTACGAGAAGCACACCGCGGTGGGCAGCGATCCTTTCGGAGATACTTTGCATCCGAGGATACATCTCGGATACTTCAACCTCGGTCCACCTGTCGTCGATGATATCCACGACCCTTTATCGAATGATCGAACTCTAAACACGTTCAATTATTCCGATAAACTTATTCAACGATCGAAAAGTCATTACTTATACCACATGGAAATTTGTATAATATAAAACGTAAGTTATAATTTCAAAAGATATGTGAACTCTGTATTTTTTTCTTTTTTTTTTTAAAGGATAAATTAATTCATTTAATTACGTTTGTTTTTAATTAAAAAAAAAAAAAAAACAATTGATTAGGTCCTTGGTCATAAAAATTGGATTAAAAATTGCAATAGCGTAAAAGAAATATTTAACGACGTGAATCCTTGGAAACGCGTAAGAAAAGAAAATCCTTAAGTCCTTAGCATATTCCCTTTGCTCTTCTACCCTTCTCGACCACTGTAGAAACGCGTGAACTTTTCTATCCTTTGCAGTGAGTAAAAAGAGCGGAAGACGAGAGAGAAAGAAAGAGAGAGAGAGAGAGAGGGTGAGAGAAAGAGAAAGCGAAGCAAAGAGTCGCTTCTTGCAAAGAAGAAACTTTAGATTAGGTCAAGTCCCTTTATATGTGTTTACCGATGACAGCTTACGTCGGGAAGTTTGTGAAATTGTTCAAAAATACGAGGCACCCTCGAAGATATCACCCACGTTCTATTGCGATTATTTGAAAAATGAAACGTTATTCGATTTTTTAAATAAAACGTTACGAATAAAAAATAAATGACTATGTATTTCGATCGATAATATTACACTTTGCACTAAGATTTATAAACGATCACTAACGCGATGCATAAAATAAATGTATTCATGTTCTTCGTCACGCGAAATATCATTAAAAAATTACGCGAAATATCGTTAAAAAATTAATTACATTAACATATGTCAATTGAGTTTTGTAATTCTTAAACAGATATTTTCATTAATTAAATATTTGGTTATTAAACATCCCCCCAATCTTGAGTGCATCTTGAAAAAAAAAAAAATATTTGAAGTTATTATATTTATTATAGAATTGTAAATAATTATGTTTCATATTTAATGTGTTTAAGTGTGTGCCTTCAGAAATGCATTTATATAGATACATATTTTAAAAGATAACAATTTAAGGTGCTCAAATAGAAGACAATCAAATGGGTTGATGTTAAATCCAACGATGATCACCTGTAACAAAAAGAAAAATATATTAATCATTTATACTTGCAATAACAACAAGAAAATTATTGACGAGCAATATAATAATATAATAAAATACAAGATATGAGATTAAAGAGCCATTCTCAAAAAGTTCGAACATGTTGTTGAAATTTTAAAAATAACTCAATAATCTGTAATTGCCCTCTTGAACCACAATTAAGTGGGGGCTCTTCGGCATTTAGCCTCTTCTTTCTTCATGCCTATTGCGTTTGGGCATACATTATGTACGATAAAGAAAAGAGTATCTGATTAAAAAACGTCTATCATTCGAAAAATGTACTAACATAATTTGGCATATTACAACGGTTAATGATATAGAATTAAAATCGTCCCTGATTCTAAAATATAAAATGAAATCAACCTAACACAATCCTAACGAACCTGAAAGAAAAAATTTGATTAGTAAACATCCTGAGTTCTTTACATATAAAATAATGACTGCCATTTGGTCGAGAATATTCTCTTTGACGAAAGACAGATTATTCGTTATGTAAAGTATCGATTCTATTCTAATACCATGCCGCTGTAATACGCCAGATTATGATATTACAATTCCGAATGATTTAAGAACATTTTTGAACAATTACTCTTAACTGTTAATAATAATAATAATAATATCTATGAAATATTTTCATTTATTTTCTTTCATACTTTTCTTTAAAATATTCTATAGTATTTTTTCGTGATTTTAAAATTTTCAATTATTAAAAAATTAATTAACGACTCCCGTGTTCACTATTCAATCTTATGTCCAAACAGATAATTCTAATAGATGACCTAATAACACATCGCACTTTTAATCTCGAATAATAAAATGGAATTGAAATAAATAATGCAATAAATGTAATGCATTTTATTCCAATATTTTTATTTCATTTATTCGTTATATAAAATTATATGAAATATTTCTAACAATAGAACAAAATAGCGCGATTGTGCGAAGTGCTAATTTTATAATACTTATAACTAAGTATCAAATTCATCAAAGGCTTTGCAGATTTGTTTCGACTCTATCTCGTTCGAGATAAAATCGAAATAGAAATTAATCTTTCAAATGGTTGCAAATCCCTTTGAATCATGATACATAATAAATATTGTAGAATTGTTACAAAATAAATTTACAATGCAAGCATAATAGAATGGAAATGATATAATTTTGTAACAATTCTGTATAAACCAGGAGGCGGAATTTCCACTCCGGAGTGGAAGCAAGCCTAATGCCTATCCTGGATCCTACCTACTTAAAATTAAATTTTTCACATTCACTCAAAAAAGTATGCTACCTGCCCGCCAATTACCCGTATTTAAAAAGTACAAACATACATGCATACCCACCCACTCACTCCACGATTCTCACACATACCACCAGGGTGCAAAAACCTAAACTAGAGAGCATGCCCCGGGGCACCTCCGACACCCTAGTTCAAACGCGTGTTTTCTAAACTTATGGGAGTACGTACCAATGCTGTAATCGACTGCCAAGGCTAATGATTATTGCATAAAAGACTAAAACAAAAATACAAGTATACACTAGTATATATGCATACTAGTAATATACGAGTATATCAAAGTTTCCACAAATAAATGCGGTAAACTCTACTATGCAAAACGATTTTATTATGAAAAAAAAAAAAAAAAACAAAATTAGAAAAATTTAATATATTTAAATAGAAAAATACAACCATGTGTATTTTTTTATATCACACGTGATATGTAGAAGTAATACTCTGAATATTAAATGATGCATTAATTAAAAACTATCGCGAAACGATGTACAGTGCACGCTACCTAATACGCACATACAGGTGCAAAGTACATCGTGCAACCATTAGCCAATAACAGCCGCCAATATGGGAAAAAATTAAAACTAAACCTATACCACCGTTTCTCACCAATACGTGTAACACCTGGGCACACGCATAGATGAGAACGCAGAAAGTATGGGGGGAGAAACGGGAGATTAGTGTATTAGAAGCTGAAAATCCTGATCTAAAAAAATATAATTAACATACATAAATACATTAAAACATTTTAATAAAAAATCATCTAAACGGGCTAAGACTCTACAAGTCATTTAGATTTGACTTTTTAATTATGCAAGAATAATTAAATATAATTTTTTAATATTTAAGAATTTTAAAAAAGGAAAAAATAAATATATATAAAAAACCTCGGACGATTCCTTTCATTAAGTTGGCTGTTCTAATAAAAGAACTGGGCTTTGAGCCACCACTTAACTGCTAGAATCTTTCCGTCGCGAATAAGTTTGTCTTCTTGCTCATTTATTGATAATAATATCGAAGTATCGATATATCAAAGTTAATCGCGATTAAATAAACTATGTACGAGGCAATGCATGTAAGACATTATTACATGACTTTTTTGGACGAAATTGAAAAAATTAATACTCGATTTCACCATTACTAACGCGAAAAAAAAAACACGAAATGTAAAAGAAAGTGCAATAATTAAGTGCACTGTTAATTAAAAAAATTTAATCGATAAGACAAGAAGACCTATCCTGAACTAATAAAACATACAATATATAACATACAATTTTCATGAGTTCATTCCTAAAAAGGAATAACTCATGTGCTCGTCAATAATTTATTGGAATAATTACAACCAGTAACTCGTGCCGATTAGGACCTTTCATCCTCGACATGATTGAGCACCGGAGGGACTTTAAATTTTTTGACTCACTCGTTACCAACCGTTATATAACATATATGTGAGATTTTAGAATTAAAATTACGCATATATGAAATATGAACAGTCAGCATTAGAAGTTCTACGATGGCTCCAAAACACTCCTACTTCGTAGTAGTATTGCAGTCTGACGATCGGAGAGTTCCTCGGTTTGCCAATGAAGAAGATCCATCGAAGAATTCATTCCACATCTTTGAAGAGGAAGATAATCCGTCGTA